TGGCCAGACAGTTCAGTGAGTTTGTAGGACAAACTAAGAGAGCTCTCGAGTCAATGAGATCAATACAGACTTTAGCCAAGAGGGTCAGAGATAGTCAAGGTTTATGGGAACCCTCAATAGCCCAGTCTAGGAGAATTAGTCAGAGTTCCAATTGAAGGGGTAAATATGAGTCTTATAGGAGACCATTGACACTTATTTTCAGAGTTAGCACTAGTGAGTCAACCTCTTTACCCATCTAGTCTAAACTCAGTGTGGGAAGAGACACCCAGGGACGTGCTAGCAGGGTTCGAGGGGTTTCTTCAGTTGTGGCTCCTTAGACCATTTTGTTAGAGACTGCCCAGGGATTTAGAGAGTAGTACCAGCAGTGACTCAGAGGTCAACGTATCAGTATAGTGAGGTTGAGGGCCAGTTAAAGGTAGTAGTATCACATCTGGACAACAAAGTAGGGGGACAACTAGATCAATAGCTGGTGTAAAGTCGTAAGCAACCTTCAAATAATATATTGTGAGAGCCCCGAAGCAGCATGATGCAACATATGCGATAACATGTACATTCTTAGCATTTTCATTCAGTTACTATATTGATAAACCCCCTAGGTCTAAACATCCTACTAAACAAGATTCACAGCCAATGCCCAGTATGGATTCAGGGTTAGATCTTTCTAGAAGACTAGATGAAGTTACCATTTAGATAGTTTGACACAGTCTTGAGTATGGATTGATTAACTGATCACGACGTCAATTTGAAGTGCAAAATCAAATAGCTTAAACTCGGAGCAAATGATGGTACCAAGTTGTTAATGACTAGTGAGAAGTCAGGCCAATCAAGAATTGTGTCAGGTAAAAAGGCTCAGTGAATGATCGAATGGGGATATGAGACCTTCTTAGCTCATGTGATCGACACCCGAATTTTAGTTCCAACACTTAAGGACATCTGAGAAATGTAAGATTTCCTAGACGTGTTTCTAGAAAAATTATTGGGTTCATCTCTTGAGCGTTAATTAGAGTTTGGCATCAAGGTAATACATGGTTTAGCCCTAGTTTCCATTATTCCCTATCGATTGAAACCGACAGAGTTGAAACAGTTGAAACTTGAGATTCAGGAGTTGTTAAAGAAATGGTTCATGTGACTGAGCATATCCTCATGGGGAGTATCGATCTTGTTTGCTAAGAAGAATGATGGGTTGATGAGGCTATAAATCGACTATAGACAATTGAACAAGTTAACCATAAAATATGTTATTCGCTTCCTAGGATAGACGACCACTTCAACCAGCTTAGAGAAGAGTGCATATTTTCTAAAATCGACTTGTGGTCATGCTACTACTAGTTGAAAGTCAAGGATGCAAATGTAGCAAAGATAGATTTATAAAAAAGATACGATCATTATGAGTTCTTGGTAATGTCATTTAGACTCATCAATGCACCATCAATATTTATGGACTTGATGAACTGAGTCTTACACCTATACCTAGATTAGTTTATGGTGGTGTTCATAGATGATATCCTAGTATACTCTAAATCAGAGAAAGAGCATGATCAATATCTCTGCATCGTCCTTCTGACACTTTGAGACCGTTGTTTGTATGCCAAATTTGGGAAGTGTGAGTTTTGGCTACTAGAGGTTTCATTCTTAGGTCATGTCGTGTCAGCAGATAACATCTGAGTCGACCCTCGTAAGATTTAAGCCATACTAGAGTGAGAGCCATCTAAAAAATGTGTCACATGTGTGCAGTTTCCTCAATCTAGTTGGGTACTACCGTCGGTTTATTCAGGGCTTATTGATGATAGTTACTCCACAAACAAAACTGCTTTAGAAGGAAGTCATCTTCGTTTGGGACAAGAAATAAAAAAAGCTTCGAACAGTTGAAAATCATTTTGACCCGACCCCAATGTTGACCCAGTCAGAGTCAGGTAAAGACTTCACAGTTTTCAGTTATAGCTCGTTGAATGGCCTGCGATGTATGTTGATGCAAGAGAGTAAAGTTGTAGTTTACGCATCCCGTTAGTTTAAACCTCAAGTGCAAAATTATCCCACCCATGATCTTGAGCTAGCAATAATAGTGTTTGCCTTGAAGATTTGACAGAAGTACCTCTTTAGTGAGACGTGTTATAGCTTCACCTATTACAAGAGACTTAAGTACTTGCTCACTCATAATGAATTAAACTTCAAACAACATAGGTGGGTTAAGGTGCTCAAAGACTACGACTGTGTGATTGACTACCACCCAAGGACTACGAAATGTGAAAGTTGTCTACGACTGTGTGATTGACTACCACCCAAGCACTACGAAATGTGAAAGTTGTTTTCTCATGATCTTGAGCTAGCAATAATAGTGTTTGCCTTAAAGATTTGACAGAAGTACCTTTAGTGAGAAGTGTTACAGCTTCATCGATTACAAGAGACTTAAGTACTTGCTCACTCAGAATGAATTAAACCTCAAACAACATAGGTGGGTTGAGGTGCTCAAGGACTACGACTGTGTGATTGACTACCACCCAAGGACTACGGCATGTGAAAGTTTTTTTCTCATGATCTTCTAGAGTTATAGCATTTTGATTATAACCATTATATCCATCCAAAAAGAAATAAAAAAGCATTACCAGCAAGTCAATCTAGCATTTGATCTTTGAATGACAATGGAGAGTGGTCCTTTCTTGTTGCTTTGTTAAGCTTCCTATAATCCATACATATTCTCCAACCAATAGTGGTTCTTGTCAGCACTAATTCATTTTTATCATTTGTCACCACGATAATGCCACCTTTCTTTGAAACGTAATACATATGACTACTTAATTTCTATCTAAAATCGTATATATAATTCCAGCATCCAACCATTTGATAATCTTCTTTCTAACCACTTCTTTCTTGATTGGATTTAATCTTCAATAATGTTCAATTGAGCTACTATTGGGATCCTCCAAAAGAATTTTATACTTGCAAAATGATGGACTAATGACTTTTATATCAGCAATGCTCCATGCAATAGCTTTCTTATGTTGTTTCAGCATATCAATCAGTTGATCTTCTTGTAATACTGTAAGTTGTGCTACAACAATGACTGGAAGTGTCTAATTTTTGAATGGTATGCATATTTCAAATGCTCTGACAGAGGATTTAATTCAAGCTTTGGTGGTTCTTCAATGTATGACTTTGGTGCTTGAAGGGTATGATCATTCATTTGCAAAGGTTCAATGTTCGGAGATATTTTCTACAACATTCTTCTTCTGCATCATTCAAGAATTCCTCAAATACTACTGAATCACATAAGGCTTTATCTGCACTGTAGCATTCTTCCAAATGCTCCTTTGCAAAAATATCAATCACACCAAGTGGGAAATAGTTAACATTGTCATCAATATCAAAAAGATTTATTCAATAAATTAAAGTAATCTGCTCATCATTTAAGAACATAGTTAATCCCCCGTTCTCAACATCAATTAAAGTGTGACATGTGGAAAGGATTGGATGGCCTAGAATAAGTAGAGCATCTTTGTCTACTTCCTAATCTAAAATGATGAAGTCTGTAGTAAAAATAAACTTGTCTACTCTCACAAGCATGTTCTCTATGATACCACTAGGATGTACGTTAGAGTGATCAACAAGTTACAAAGTAACTGTAGTTGGTCTTGCTTCACCGCTCCTAAATTTCCTAAAGATTAACGATGGCATTAAATTTATGTTAGACATTAAATTTATGCTAGCACTCAAATTACATAAAGTTTTACCTATAAATGTGTCACCAATGTTATAAGGAATATTGAGACTACCTGGATTTTTAAACTTCGGTGGAGATTGAGTTGTAGCCATAGCATTATATCCTTCAGTAAGAGTGACTATTTCAAACTCACCAATTCTTCGTTTCTTCGAGATAATTTCCTTCATGGGTTTTCTGTAAAACATCAATCAACGAAATGTTAATTGTGAGTTGGTGAACAACATCAATAAAAGCTTTGTATTGATAATCCACTTTGTCTTTTTAAAGCAATGTGGAAATGATGGAGACATGTTTTGTTGCTTTTGCTGAGGCATTGAAGTTAGCTGAGTGTCAGATGTTGAATTACTACTCTGCCCTACGTCTGGTGCTAGGAATTGACTCACACCCAATTCAGGCTAAACTTATTTGCTCTTCCCTTTACTATGTTGATGAACTTATTCATTATTTCTCCTTGGTATTTCATTGGTTCCCCAATATGAATTCTACTTCTTGTAGTAATGGCCTTGCAATTGTCTTTACTACTTTGCTTGGGATTATCAGTGTCACTAGGAAGTGTTCCTTGCAATCGACTATTTAGAGAATTATCCATTTTTCACATATGTTTTTCTATAACCCTTAATGAGGCAGATTTGCTTTCCATATATTCTTTCATCATAGCTTCAAAAGGCATTAAAGTTGAAGTTTGGTTTGAAGATTGACTTTGCTAATTCTGTCTTTGTTGTGATTGAGTAAAAGTTGTGCCTAGGACTGTGGCATATGGTTCTGTTGAGTATAATGTTGTTGTTAATACTGCTAATGTTGTGGATTGGAAACATTCTAGCTTCTCCAAGAAAGATTGGGATGATTTTTGAAATTTGTATTGTATGTAATGCCAAAAGCATTATCGTTCATTTGATAATTTCGCATGTAGTAAATAGACTCTGGATTTTGGGGGCATTCATAAAACATATGATCATTGTCGTAGTATATGCAAGAGATAAGAGATGCAGTTTTAACTTTGTACATTCTTCATGATTTATGCAATTTCTTCACCATTTCAGTCAATGCTGAAATATGAGATGCCATAAAGTTAAAAGCTTCAGAGTATACTATTGTAGCATTACACCAACCAAACGTGCATGTATTAGGATATTGATAATCATTAGTGAAGATCTTTTCTAGAATATCATAGGATTCATTGTATGTCCTATCTAGCAAAGCTCCGTTTGCTTAAGCATCAACCATCATATGAGTGTGTATATTTAACCCATTATAAAACATCTCCATTTTAGTCCAATATGGGAATCCATGCATATGACACTTCCTCGGTAATTCTTTAAATCTTTCCCATGCTTCATAAAAGCTTACATCTTCTATATGATTGAATGAAGTTAAACCATTTCAAAGTTTAGCTTTCATATTCGGTTAGTTGGATCGCAACAAGAATTTCTATGCTAATTTATCCAGAACGATATAGCAATTAGTGGCAGTGAACTCAACCAAACCTGTGCTTTATCACGTTGCAAATAAGGAAATACCTTCAGCTTAAATCCTCCTCTTGTAACACCAATAACCTATATATTTATACTATACAAGTTAACGATGTCACATAATTATTCAAACATTTCTTAACTTAAATGGGTAAAATTTTGGTCCCTAAAAATTTCCAAATTTTAACATTATTATAAAATAATTAATCAGAGGAAATTAAAATATATATACTGACTTCTATTTCAAAATTGGTTTCAAGTAGTAGGGAGTTCTGATGTATTTCATAAAAAATTGTCTAATTAAGCTCATAAGCTTATAAGCTTTTCTATACCAATACTTTCCATTATTTATTCTATAAGCTCACAAGCTTTTCTTACCGATATACTTGTCATTTATTACATAAGCGCATAAGTTTTTTCATCTATTTAACATTTATTACCCAATAAACCATAGCCCAAAATAGACATATGAGGACCTGGGTACACGAGTCAAAATGCCCAGAAATGCTTACACAAAAGTTTGTGCCCACCATAATACACATAAGGTCGTGCACTATATGTAACGAAGTGCTTACACATAAGGTCGTGCCCACCATATGCACCAAAGTGCTTACAAAGGTCGTGCCCACCATATGCACCTAAGTGCTTACACATAAGGTCATGCACACCATACGCACTAGGTATCCTTTAGAGTTAAACTGATATGCGGTTGCTACTAGACTCTATGGCATACCAACTATACCTCAATGAGATACTTGAGCATATAGTATATATTTAATTCATCCATGACAATGTATACCAATATAACTTAACATTCGGAAGTTCATACCTGAAATAATATTCATGGTACATAATCATATATATTAGTGATAAATGTACTATAATTTCAACTTTTTCCATATTAAGAACATGTCAGTCATATGATAGATGACGTAAATATCATGTCAATATGAACAAGGTAGACTCATCAGAAGTCTTGATAATGATGTATGAAACATCCATGTATAATCTCATACATGCATTGTATTCACTTTGACACTTTATATGCAAGTCAAAATATAACCCTCACTAAGCTTTAACTTGATTATTTGCTTCCATTTTGGTTGGATCCTAAAATTTATCACAATTTCATATTCTGGCAGTTTGCACTACCTTCAAAGAAATATTATTCTTTATTAATATACATAATTAAAAACTATTCCGTTTATAGCACTGGAAACTAGACTCGAATAAAAATCTAACCATATGAGGCACTTCTTCTAGTTCAATTTGCATTATTTATAGTGAATTTTCAAAGCTGACTTATAGAAGTTGTTTTGAACAAAATTTGCTTCCATGTTTTATGACCTATCCTAGTTTAAAAATTCATATCTTTTCATAGAAATGAGTATTTGTTTGTTCTAAACAAAATTAGACTGATATATGAATCCAATGGTGTAAAATCACCCTCTAATCATTTCTGTAAAATTTATGGTGATTTTGTAAACTTACTGTTCAAATCAAAAATCTAGACAGATTTCACCAATTTGCATCCTTAGCTTATTCCATAAATCTATTAGCTTACCAATTGAGCATATATGCATGCATCATAAATCACATAGCATTAGGAGTCACTTCTTACCATAGTAACTCCGTCTCCGGCTCATTGCAAGCCAATGTTTGCTCGATAACATAAATACAAATTAAATATGCACTCACCTGTTATCCTTAGCTTGCAACCTTCCTTAGAAATTCACCTTTCATCCCTAAGCTTCTCCTTAGATTTAATATTGTTTAATCTTGATTTCAATCCTAATCTAAATGAACACCATTTATAAAACATATACAATTTAACCACATGATAGAATCTTACTAACATAGGCACACATTAGAAAATAAATTTCATAAAAATCTTCTAATGCTTATTCGATACAAATTCCATGTCACAACATAAATGTTACCATAACCCTTCAAATTGACCATTCAAGTTCTTTTTTATCCAAATTTATCCAAACTTCACATAACATTTTCACTTAATTTTCTAACTTTTTCATAAGTGTGATTTGATCCTCAACTTTTACCAACTTTCCAAAATGTCCCAATTTCACATTCTAACATCAAATTCAACACTCTAACATTAATTTCTAGCATAGCACATCAATTATTGAACAATTACACTTTAATCTCATAATTTTACATAATTTTCAATTGGGTCCACTAACTTTAAAAAAATTATGAATTGGTTCAAACGACATTTTAAAGCTTGTATAACCTTCCAAATATCATTTCTAAGACATGGAATTTTTTTTCCATATTTTTTCCTAATTTCTTCTCAAGGCCAAATATATAGGGTTTAGGATTCATGGATTTTCAATTTGTTTCAAACATGAATTCAACCTCCAAACAACATTTCAAACCTTCTACAATCAAACCCCCAATATAATTTAACCAAATCTTTAATTTTCCCAAAACCTAGGGTTGGGTTAAATTCAATACAAGCATATCTAGGTGGTTTTAATCATTAATCAACTTGAAAATGATTCTACAACACCAGTGACCTCAAAATCCATCATCAATTCATAAAACCCTAACATGTTCATAAATCCTAAAATTTGGGAATTAAGCATTCAAGTGAGATTAACAAGCAATAATGGTACCAACTGATAGAGCTCTTTGAATAGAACAATTTTCTATTTCACGCTTTAATCCAAAAACCAAAGGAAATTTCTCAAATATGAAAAAACAAATCTCCATATCTTGTGAAGCTCATGTTCATGGCTGATTTTGAAGAAGAAATGTCATGAAATTTCTAGATAATTTCATGTTAATTTGTCATTTATTAAGCTTGAATGAATTTAAAATTCATTTAATGGGAAATGACAATTTTACCACTAATGAAACTTGATAATTACATTCATACTAAGCCACATGTTACTTATCATCTTTCAAAAGTCAAAGATTAACAAATTAGTACACCTTTTACAACTTTGCCCAAGCACTATTCCAAAAATTTCAATCTTGTCATTTTTCATCCAACGGTCCAAATTAAACATAGAAATAAATTCTCAAATCAATGGTCCATATTATTTTCCATTATTTTAAAATATGGAAATAACATTTCTAAGCTTAATTTATCATCCTTTAAATTTTCTCAAAATTCAGATTCGATCTGGTTATCCGAATTTTTGCCAGACTTTAACACTTTTTATCTTTTAACAGAAATTCCTAATTAAAAATCTGATTCCCATGGAAACATCATTCTTGGTGGTGAACTATTCATTTATGGAATAAATTTCATTTTGAAAAAATTACCACTTTGGTCCCTAACATTTTGCCAAATTTATACTTTGGCTACTAAACTTTTAACATTTATATTTTGGTCAATAACCAAAATTTTGGGGTTTTACACCTCAAAACATCTTACTGAATAAAAGAATCACAAACTTCCATAAACACTCTCAAATAAGCCCTAGGGTGTTCATCAATAGATCCTTTATATTGTCCCATAGATTGTAATATTTGGAACATAACTAGCTTTAATTCAAAATTCATAATATTAATAATTGGCCTTACAATGCTCGAATGCAAATCATCCAACATCGACACCACATCCTCATGAATAGGGCGATGACGGTCATTCATGTTTTAATATGGTTGCCTAGCTCCAATACCAGTGAGCAACTCATTATTTTCTCTATTCTGCAACGTGGGTAAAATATAATTCCTTTATCCAGCCATAGAAGCTTCACAACGACGTCTCCTAAAAGTTCTTTCAATCTCTAGATCAAACGTCTCTAATTCTTCGTTGCTTTAGGGCATAAACTAGTAAAAACATAAGCTAAAAATACTTCCAAAAAAAAAAAAATAAGCGAAATCAAGAAAACCCTAAATCAAATCGATGTTCCCTAGTAACGGTGCCAAAAACTTGATGTTACGTAAGATGCTATAGCATTTAACATAAATATACATATCACTCAAGTAATAAAGTGGCAGTAATTGATGCTACGGAGATTGAACCCATATGGAGCAAAGTGTTATCATTAGAGTTTGCAAAAATAAGATTTAGCAAGTATAAGAGTAACTAAAAAGAATATAATAAAATAAATGAGGAAAAACACCAATTCATACTATAGCGTTCCATAAAGCGCTTGGTCAACTATCAAATCAATGGATACAATATTATGAACTTCAAATCTCATGCAAATAATGCATACTCAATTTATGTGATTGGTCAACATTGATTAAAACCTTCTCAACTATAACTTTCATCAATTAAAGGATCAAAATATTAGCACTAATCAATTGGTTGTATACTTTTCAGCATACACTATGCTACTCAGCAACACCGATGCTCACAAAGGTATATAGAAAAAAGACTGAAACTATTTCGAGATTTAATTGAAGATATTATATATTTAATTATAAGTATTTCTACTCACAATCATAAAGTAATAAGCTCATAAAATAAGTTCAAAGTAAACACAAAATAATAATTCCACAATATCATCCAACAAAAGTTTAAACATTCAAATCACTCCCTCTCTCAATGGAAAGCTTTGAACAGTGATATTTTGACCGTTGATGCTACTCAACAAGCTTCCTTCTACTACAATAATCCATGGAAAGGGGCTTAGGCTTCCATGGCTCTTAAAGATTTAATGTGGAAAAATGGTACTTTGGATAACTCTCAATCGTCGCGCTTTTTATGCACAATAACTCCACTTTTATAGCTTGGGTGAGAATTTTTTCCCTCAATAAAAGATGTCAACGTTTCAAGTGATATCCAACCAAGTGAAAGCTTCCCAAGCGAGTTGTCCCAATCCAGAAGGTTCTTTTAATCGTTTGGAGGTTAGAAGACTGTTGCAGTGTCCGCTCAGTATTTCTTAATGCACTGTAACAGTTTTCAGTAGCAAAAATCAATTTTAGCCCTAAGTAACCTAC